GCTTCGCTGAGCCGTCGGGCGTCCGCAGGTGCCCGGCATGGGGCTGCTGACCGAGCTGGCCCGCGGGCTGGTGCGGGGCGCCGACCGCATGTCCCCGTTTACCAGCAAGCGCGGCCCACGGAGCTACAACAAGGGCCGCGGGGCCAAGAAGCTGGGCGTGCTCACCGCCAACAAGAAGTTCATCCTCGTCAAGGAGATGGTGCCCGAGTTCATCGTCCCCGACCTGGACGGCTTCAAACTCAAGCCCTACGTCTCGTACCGTGCCCCCGAGGGCTCCGAGCCGCCTCTGACAGCCAAGCAGCTCTTCACCGAGGTGGTGGCTCCCCGCATCGAGAAGGACGTGAAGGAAGGCACGTTTGACCCCAACAACCTGGAGAAGTACGGCTTCGAGCCGACGCAGGAGGGCAAGCTCTTCCAGCTCTTCCCCAAGAACTATGTGCGGTAGTGAGCAAAGCAGCGGGGCTCCCGGGGCCGCTGCGGCCCCTCTGGCGTGCTGGGAAGAGCATCGCTGTTGTGCGAGACGTGACCTGTGCCAGCAAATATGGGACAGTTTCTGTCACTGGCTATTAAAAGCAAATCCTTCCACTTTGTGCAATGTCTGGTTTAAATTGCTGCGGGGAAAGTGGCAGTTAATTTCCCCTCCCTGACTGAGGAAAGCGTTACGTGCGTTTTGTGCCCTGTGTGCAGCTGCGCTGTGCGAGCGTGTGGGTGTCTGGCTCTCCGGCAAGAGCTGGTTGACCAAGCACTGATAATTAGCAGGAGGCAGTTTCTCTCCAGCCTGGTGAAACATCATTCCTGCCTTCTGGGAAGGAATTCCTGCCTTCTGGGAACAGAGAACAGGTCTCATCTCCTTGGCAGCCTGGCGTTCTCTGGCTGTGGAGAGCAGAGTGCTGCAAGTCAAGCGGCAAACCCCAGCTGGCGGGGGCTGCACTGAGGGGCAGGGGCAGCCGAAGGGGGAATGCAGCAATGGCTTCCCCCCTTGCCCCAGCAAAGGGTTTTGCTAAATCAGGAGACCCCCCTGCAGGCAAAACCAAGTCCACACTCTAAACTTTCCGAGAACTGTAGCTTATACTGAAGGCTGTGGTCATTCCAGATTTTGCCCAGCCTTAAACCTACTCCTTTTAGAGTAGATCAAGACACAGTTAATAGGTACATTTAATGTCTGTTCTGTAGCAGTGCAGCTGCTTGAAGGGGCAAGGTAACTGTTTAAATTTGAAACTTATCTCAAGAATTGTTATTTTTGGACATCCATTCCTACAAGAGCAGTGAGTTGCTGTTCACCAAATTAAATGGATACAAGTGATGCTTACAGACAGTTGTGTGCAACCATAGAAATTGCTAAATTCTAAATGTCTTTGGAAATAACGTTTTCTCCAACACCCAAGTGCTGGAGTCTGAGAAAATTATTCTTCTGTACAGCTGTTCTGTGCCTGGGGACCGTAGCCCTCCCAAGAGGTACGCAGGAATTGGGTTTTTTTGTTTTTCTCCATGAGTTTTTCCAAATACAAAGCACTGCAAAGCTTAAGCATTAGAGAATTAAATTGCAGTTGAAACATTCACTTTTAGAGAAGGAAGCATGATCACTGACTCTTCAGCGAGCATCCAGCCTGTAATGAAGACTGACAGATCAGTCCTTAAAACATTGTTAAAAAATAAATCTTTTCAGGGCTGGAGAGGGCTGGGATGGTGGGGAGGGGACGCTGCACTGGCATCTGCTCCTGAGTCCTGCAGCCCTAACCAACCACCAATGAAGCAATTTTTTCATAGAATGGAATCACAGAATGGTCTAGGTTGGAAAAGCCCTTTAAGCTCACCAGGCCAGCCCCTTCCAGTGCTTGACAGCCCTTTCAGTGAAAAAATTTTTCCTGATGTCCAACCTAAACCTGCCCTGGTGCAACTTGAGGCTGTTCCCTCCATTTTTTCTAATTAATTAAGCCCAACCTGCATTTTTTCACTTCTTTTTCAGCTCATCAGAATGATGGTTATTCAGGAGTGGTTGCTTTCTGCCTCCAGCTCTGGGTGCTGTTGCAGAGGCAGGGCTCAGCCCCTTCCTGCCAGAGAGGGCGTTTTCCTAGGCCTCACCTGGCACATTCTGGAAAGGAGAGCAGTTTGCAGCATGAACGCAAGGCTGCGAGCAGGAGGTCCTGCACCTTGGATGCTAATCCCATCTTGGCCTCGAACAAGTCGCTCACCTTACCTTCCCTGCGGGAAGACAGATTACAACAGGAGACTAATTTCGCAGGGCGAAGCAAGGACTAACATAACGCATAAATCAAGCGCCCCAGTCTGGTCGCGTTCTGCGACACCACTCCAGCTCCACCAGCCTCAGCCTGTTTCCTCTTAATCTCGTAGGGCAATAATAAAAAGCATTACAGCCTTTTAAGACAGAGTTGTAGTCAAAAGCAGTGTCGCTACAAGGATACGCCCTCACCAAGGTGTGAGGAAACTGAATTGTCTACTCTGACTCCCAGAGAATATTCACCACCACTAAATGCCCTCAGGAGACTGAGCCATCATGGGACGAGACAGAAGGTCTGTGACGGACTTTTTATAATCAAAATGACCAAGATAAATCACTTCTATTCATTTTATTTTAGAAACATCCAAAAATAGGGTGGTTTTTTTTTTCTTTTTTTAACAAAAGCTCTTGTTCACAATGCTAATATGAATCTTCATGTAACAGTGCTCAAGAATGTTTTCCAAAATACACATTCACTCCTTGAAAAAGGAGTTTCAAAGCAGTAAAATTCTCATCTGCTGTGCCTCGGTTTAGATGCAGTACTGTTACAGATTGTTGCTGGTGTTTCTTTCCCTCCAGGCAACTAATTCTTTAGGACCCTCCAAGAAAAACCATGCCAGCTAGAAGCTACTTACCTAGTTTAAGCTGGTTTTTTGTTTCTAGGAAGGTAATAGAGAAAGTGTTCTAGAAACGGTGTTTTGCTGATATTTCACAGTGAAAAAAGAAAGGTAATGAAGCAACCATGAGAAATTCTACAGCCATTCCTGGAGGTAGTTAGGGCAATGCTGTTAAGATTTTGGTTTCTGTACTTACTTATTTTGAACTTAAAAGATGTGAGGAAACACTGCTTGTACTTTTTGGAGGTTTTGACCTTAAAGCTTTATGTAATTGAAAGATCTTGACTTTGGCCCTAAGTGCACGTTTCACTGTGGAGAGCAGAAAACATGAGTTTGACACCAAGAGGCTGGGGGGTGTGGTTGGTTAAGTGTGGCACCAAAACATAGCAGGGCTCCCTATACAATTTGCGCTAAACCAGGTTGTGTTTAGCTTGGAGAGTGATAAAGCGAGACTGCAATCAGGTGAGGAGTTTGATATAAAATTAGGCTCTGCAGATACACCGGAATCCTTCCAAGAAAGACCCCGCTCAGAACAAAGCTTCCTGCTGCTGAGCTGCCGCCCATCATACCGGTCAGTCTGGATTTCCTTCTAAAAAAGAATTTCTCTCTACTAAGGATCACCACATGTACACTGCACTGTCTGTGCCTAGACCGTCTTTGAGCGTCTTCTCGAGGTACGTATTAGTTTACAGATCACACAGCAAGCTACACACACAGCTAAGCCTCTACTCATGGGCTTTTCCAAGACATTCAGTGTTTGTCTACACGTACCAGCGCAGACAAGTTTGGTTTGTGGTGGAAGGAGGAGAACAGGCTGAACAGATCCATCGTAGAAATGCAAACCAGCCTTGAAGGGATTCAAATACAAGGGACAAACAAGCACCCTTTGAAAGGAAGGCTGTCCTACTTTGAACAAGTACATTAAGGGAAAACTAGGTCTGTGCTTGACCATGTGCCTCAAAGCAAAGGCCTTCCTCAGTGCTGAAAATAAACCACCAGTAATTCCATCAGTATCAGCCTCAAAAGACTCACAAGCTCAGTAACAAAACTGGAAAAGCCCAACAGAAATTCCTTGGGACCAATGCAAACCTTCAGCTGTTCTTTCAGATGGAGATCTGGTATGTGGCGTCTCCGAAGGGGTCACCAGGCTCATCTCCCACTTCCAGACATGGAGGATGTTGTCATAGAAAGAACAAGTTGCCACAATGCTCATTTCTTTTGGACTGTCCAGAGACCTGGCTGAGTCACCGCTTCTGTCCAGGCCCATTCTGCTGTGTCTCTCAGAGCTGCTGGCTGACCCAGGATCTCCCCCTTGGTCAGGACCCCCAGCCAAATCTAAACTCCCCTTTAAATCAGAGCCCCTGACCAGGCCAGGATCCCCAGACAGCTTAGGACCCCCTTCTGCTTTGAGCAGCAAGGCAGGGCCTTCACTCTCCTCATCCAATATTACATCAAAAGTAGCTGTAGGAGACTCATAAATTATCTTCAGGTTTTGGACCTGCAAATTCAGTCTCTCATCTGCTTCCTCTGCTCTTCCCACAAGCTCTTCTGAAGACAGGCAGGAAGCAGCGGAGTCCTGTGCTGCAGCCAAGAAATCCCTCGGGCAGAGCCTTGACCAGTCAGCCCCATAGGCCAAGGAATTGTGCAAGACATAGGATGACAGGATGACACATTCCTCCGTGTTTTCCGCTTAAAAAAAAAAAAAAAAATGAAATGAGCAGAAATCAAGTTGTAAAATGGTTTGTTGCAGCCTACTCACAAGCCATTCCAGCATTGGCTATGTCCTATGGGAATAGTTCTCTGGTTACTGCCTTATTCACTATGGAGTTGAGCATTCAAGGGGAAATGAGGTTTGGCTCTCCTGACAATTTTTTGGCCACCTTTCATTAGCCTTGATTTTCCCTGGTTCAGTAGGGAGATAGGAGAAGCTTTAATGTGCATTAACATGCATCATTATTCAAAATACCTAAAAAGGTTGAAAAAAGACAAGACAGATCACACAGTGATCCCCACCGAGCCATAAATACAGATGGTAAGATGGCCAGACCAGGTTCTGGTTATTAATAAATTGCAGATGTGTTCTTCCCATGAGCTTTCAGCATTTGACTCTGATATTAAACACACATCAAGTTCCCCCCTTCCCTATACAGCAGCAATGTTATCCTCATGTCACAAGCCATGGATCTGCCCAAGGCTTGGAGAAACCTAGGAAGGCAACCATTTTGTGCAAGTTTGTATTTGTAATGTAAATGCAAACAGCTTTAATCATGTAAATACCTTCTGATTCACATGGAGAGCTTACTCATGTTATTCTAGATTAACCAGACTGCCCAACACTTCCTTTCCGAGGCAATTCACCAACAGGTCAGTAAGTTCTGCTGACAATAAAGCATCACCTGACATTCCAAAGAACCTCTTTGAACCATCAAGATGAATACAAACCGGAACGGTCACGTCAACAGGTAATGCCTTTACACCAAGACAAACAGGCTTTCTTCCCATAAAAAGAAGTTATGACAGATTTACACATGAACAATGACTGTGCCTTTGCACAACCAATCAGGCCAACAGTGAGGATAGGTCTGGGGAAGCTGGAAGAGTCACCTCAAGCTGCAATAAAAGTCTATGGCCATTAACAACATCTAGATCTTTCTAGCAGGCTCAGAGCTGGAGTTCCCCCATTAACCTGGAGGTAGGAGAGC